TGAAGATAATTTTATATCTTCGTCAATGGAGTTGAGGGGAGGCTTATTAGTAAATTTCTTACAAATTGAGGAAGGTCAAACCTTTTTTATTCGCAGCAGGGGGAGGGTCACAGTTTTTTTTGGCAAAATTTTCCTCCCTAGATCTCCCGGCAGCCGCTGAATTATCCGAGGTCACAAAAGCCAAGTTGTGATTTAGATAGCTTTAGATAGATAGCTTTATTAGGAAGTAAAATCATTGCAGCCCCTGGGCCGGCTGAAATACGACTTACTTTACAATGGGAATAAATTATCTCTTACTCTAAGATAGCTACAATAAAAGCCGCAAAATGTAATCTACAATAAAATACAATAAGAGAAGTATCAAAAACCAAAATACAAATATTTAAGATAGGTACTAATTTTTAAAACTGTTCGCCATGATAAATGTGTTTTTGAAACTAATTGTCTTACAAATCGGTAGCTTGAAGTATCTCTGGCTGCAGGTGCGATAGGTGGACTTGTTGCGTGGAGGCAGCAGATCATGGAGCTTGTGGTTTTCGTCCCTTACAATCTGATCAAATAGAGCATCACACAAGATCTCCCTCCTCCCGTACAGTGACGCAATGTCAAGAGCTACTAGAGCCTCAGCGTGGGATAAGTCTGTAACCCCGAAAGGTCACATGTGTAGCGAGGGTCGTAAGCGACGAATTTGGAGACCAGACAATCGTAACGCACAACGTAAACTTTAATTGAAATAGCGTAAAAGAGCAGCGGCTTCTAGAATGATAGATAGATGATTCGATATGTAGCTTTGCATAGCGGTAAGGTCTTTTTGCAGTGAGATTTGTTGTGGTTCGAACTAGAAAGCAAAGAAAGGAACCTAAATAAGCCGACGCCTGTGGATATACTATTTTACCTGGACGCACGTGGCATAGAATCGCGAAACTACACAAGCGCTAAAGATAATCATGCCAATTAAGATAATGAAGCTAACTATAACGATCAAGTAAATATAATGGCTTACTTTAGTCTGGCTCCTAGCGGTAATAGGTAGCTGATATGTGGCGGTGAAAAGGAAAATAGCGTTGCAACGATAAACCTCTCAAAGAACTACGTGCCTTACACAATGAAATCCGATCGCTAAACCTTTCACGCAAGTATGTACAGTTGCGCAAGAAGTAGATAATCAAGGAGAACAAAACAGGAATCACGGCTAAATATAATCAAACGAACTATTATGGTATGAAAGTAACAAAGTCAGGTTGAATCATCCGCAACGCGCGTTTTTGCAACCTTTCCATTTCATTAGACCGATATTGCGGCAAAGAATGATGAAAAACTGGGCACGCATATTCTAATCCAGGGCGACATTTCGTAGTGTAAATTAAATTTGCACAGTCGGCTTCTTTGAATTTTTTCTTTAAGTGTCGTCGAGCGGAGAAACAAGCCATTTTGTGATATTCATCTTCTAAAAAGATGGGTTGGTTCGCTGATAGGAAAACCCTGATGCGTCTCATCGAGCTGTTGGGGAAAAAGTTATTGTGCATGAGCACTACAAGTCATCTGAAGGAAGTAAGGCCGGAATGTTTCGATTGCAACAAATTTTGTTAAACTTTTTTCAGCTCGACATCTTGACTTGCTTCGAATCGCATCATAGAGAAGAACATCTGACGCCTTAGAGGTAACAGGTATTCATTTGTTGGAAGTACTCTTAATTTTCGATTCTCTGAACTTTTATGTTTTTCAAAATTTGTGAGAAATCTTCCCGCCAATAACAACGTTTAACAACTCGCGAGGTGATATTTTCATTATTACAAGAAGTTTTTATTATCCCTAAGATTTTCTTATTCCAATGAAGAAAAGCTTTAAATAGCTATTGCTATTAAACAAGGCCCAGATATCCAATCGGCAGCCCATGAGAATGGTCACAGCTGATGATTAACTGAAGTGTACGCATTTACTATTACAAGCGGTCTATACTTCATATGATTTAGTCGATCTTTCAGCAAACATCAGTATATTATCAGTCGTTTTAAGCAGTCTTTTGCATTCATGATGCCGAGCATAGTTTAGGCAATGAAGTGCAGTGTATCGAAGTTAAGGCTAGTGCTGTGTAAATCTCTCCTGTGTCGTCTGGATATATGGAGTACATCTACGTGCAATGAAGTGCAGTCTACTTCAGTTTCATTTGGAAACGTGGTTAACTTCAACCTCTTGCAAAGCAGTCCCGTTTAGTCTGGTGAAGTATGCCATTAGAAAAGCGGACATCCAAGTCTGGTACAATCTTCGGTTGTCACACCAACACAATAAAGAGCTTCTACCTACATTGTCATAGAGAGCTATTTCTAAATCATAGGTAAATCATAGAATAAACCTAATTTAAATCAAGCGGAAATAATTGATCAACAGAAGATGAAATAAAGATATTAAAGTAAGTCTTAATAACTTAAACGTCGACTTACTTTACAAAATTGTCACGTGACTGAAAGCGAAGAATTTGTCCATGTTACAACACACGAAAGGACTCCAAAGCACACTTCACTCTGATTGGGCAGAAAAACACAAAGATTCTCTGGCACCAATCAGATGGCAGAATGACTGCGACCGTTTGGAACTAGTCTTGTAAGACAATGTCCCCAGGGGCTCTTCATGCCCTAACTTGAAATCGACCCACAGCCCCTAGGTCTCCGAGGATGAGGTTGAAGGTACAAGTCACGTGATCGCGAAGGTGAACACATTCAAAACAAGATGATGGATGGAGTAGACGATCTCTATAACAACAACAACTTTAATTTTTTCACCCCAAAATATACAAGAAAGAAAAACTTATAATAATAGTACAGACAATGATAGGGGCGCTGGCTGCCCAAAATAACCTAAGAGTTAAAATTGCCAGGCAGCCAGTTAAAAGAAAAGATGTTTAAATGTTTAGGTCAGAGACACAAAAAACAAAGAAACACAGAAACGCACACAAAGATAAACACAAAGATAGACTACCAGTATATTAGAGAGACTAAAATTCACACATTGCAAAACAGTATTATTTCCATTTTAAAGTTACATACACAATACAGATGTCTAGTAATCTTTGATAAATTGCTACTTCATTTTCTTTTTAAACAAAGACAATGAAGATAATTTTATATCTTCGTCAATGGAGTTCCATACTGATGGACCTTGAAATCTGATATTGAATATACCATAATTTGTTCTTGCTTTTGGAAGATAATAAGAGTGTTTTGCACCAAGTCTTGCATTATAGGTATTGATTTGCGAAATTTTATTAAAAACAGAATTAAAGACTGATGGCAATAATTGATTTTGATATTTATACATAAAGATTGCTAAATGAAAAGTTACTAGGTCTAGGAATTTTATAATTTCAAGAGATTTAAATTAAGGACTAGAGTGCTCATCAAATCTAGAAAAGGTAATCAATCGCATTGCTCTTTTTCGTAAAATGAAAATTGGTTGAAGAGTCGGTCTTATAGGTGTTTCCCTTTGGCTAGTTAGCGGCTTAAATTTTACTATTTGCTTAATCCCTTTCCAGACCGTTTTGCCATCCTTAATGTTTTGAAAAAAATATTCATTACAATATTGTTTAATATTGTTTTTTGCTTATTTTTAGAAGATGGTTTAATTTGTTCCTGTAAAGCTTAAATTTTGTATGGTGATAGGCAGATTTTGTCTTAAGGTATTTCTTATAATAATTATTTTTAATTTGAATAGACTTTTGTGGAGCTTTAGATATCCATGGTTTTGATTTAAGCTTTACTTCCCTCGTTAGATAGTTGTTTGGCTGGTATATGTTTGTTGATTATACTACATATTTTAAAGTAAAAAGATTTAAACATATTGCATGCACTATCATTGCATGGATACAAAAATAGTTTCCCAGTCAATTAATTGAATCTCACTAATGAGGGCCTGCTGATCAAATTTAGAGTAATCTCTTTTGAATATTTTAACATTGCAAGGAAGTGATGAAAATTTATTAAAAATTAGGAAATTAGGAAGGTGATCATAGAGATCATAAGCTATGTTACCTGCACTGATTGTAAAATGCTCAATTGAATTGAAAAAAATATTATCAATTAAAAATGCTGAATGATTTGTGATTCTTGTTGGTTGCATTATATAGGGCTGAGAAAAAATTAGAACCCAGATTGTTAAGGAAACCATCAGTTGCTGAGTGTGATTCAAATTTCAAAAGATCTATGTTATAGTCTCCCATGATTATACAAGTTTTGTTTTCTTGATTAATTCTATGAGTTGTGGAGCTCACATATTCAATAAATCTTTCTAAGTCACCATTTAGATGCCTATAAATTATTTCACAGAGTAAGTTTGAATGACAATTATTATGTACCTCAATCCATAAGGCTTCAAAATCATCAGCAGTCATTGTAAATTCAGGTCTTATGTTAAAATTTAAGTTATTTTTTATGTAGAAAGCAACTCCCCCAGTATTGGAAAGGCTTCGCTGGGAGAGATACTGATATCCACATAAGTCAGTGTTATAGATATAGGAGGTTGATCAATTTTCTGTTTGATTTCAGTAACACCAATTAATGAGAAAGGAAAATCTAGCTCTGATAATACGTTTGACAATTTATCATGATTAGCTGATAGGCTTCTAATATTACAATTAATCAAAGAAGAAGATTGACCACTCAATAGACACTCTTTGATGTCATAATTACCAGGAAAATCGTGAGTACCAAAGAAACAAAAATTGTTTTCAAAAGGCATGTTTAGGTCAGCATCTAAATCAGCAAGGTGCGGAATGTTACTAGGAGAATTAATTGATACTTAAAGATGGAAATTAAGTGAATTGGCCAATCACAGGCCATATCACTCGTGTCAGTTGCACATGTTAAACAATTCATCAAATCATTAAAGTTCAGAAAATAAATACTTATTTAGATCGTATCTTCTGAAGATCCTCTTTGTTATTAATATGGTGAACAGCAGAGTCTTTGTCTTTTCTCATGAAGATTTTTCCATTTGAACGGTAGAAATTATCTTTGACATCACGCCTAGTGAATTTGACGATAATAGCTGGCGGTCCAGGCTTGCCTTTGTGTTTTCGACTTTGAGGCATTCAATGGCTTACTGAAATGTCATTTTGAGTAATATCTATTCCCGGTAGTTTACCGACATCCGTTACAACATTATTAGTTTGCTCTTCTGATGGAGTAGCAGCAACAGGGATTCCTTGGATTTCTACACACTCTCTACAAGTGTACTGCTCCAGATCATTGTTCGCTCTCGTAATTTATTCTAGTGAACTTTCAATACTGCGAATTGTTGCCTTCAAGATCTTATTCTCATCGTGCAAAATCTTATTCTCATCTTTCAAAGCCTTTCTTTCCTCCTTTGAGATCTTCATCATCTCTAGCAATTCGTCATACTTCACATTCACAAATTCAAGAAAACTCATTGCCTCTTTAACTGATTTTTTTAACTGGGAGATTGTCAAGTTAAGTGGATAGTATTTTGGGATTGGCTTCTGCAAGGAAATGGGTCTGAATTTGTCAAGATTGAGAATTCTACCCATGTGCAAAAGCTGCGCAATTTACATGTCTTTCTTTGTGAAGTATTTATTATGTAAATATGAACTGAAGTTATGCATAGTGTGATTGTGTCAAAGGAGGCCAGAAGTGCTACTTGAGAAACATGTATCTAGGTTTTCTGTTAGCAGCAAATGTTCTGTATTAAACAACTGGTATCAGTTAGGTAGAGTCTACCACCCGGACATCATGATTGTCATGCCAAATCCCTGAGGCTACTTAATCCCCTCATCTTCAAATGTTATTCTTCCACCTCTGATCTATTTTGCTTGAGAGAGTGCGCCAAAACAAAAATATGACCTAGATAGACATTGTCTTGTCGATTCAGGAAAGAGTACTGAGTGCATGCGGCTGAAGATGGATCATTTTGAACATATTCTTTGTGTCTGGGTAGAAATAAATTTCCTTCAACAGCCTCTTAAGGTCAATTTCCCCCAAAACAGTTTTGTTTGTCAATCATCCATGAGAATGGCTACTATTAGGAATTTAATCAAATTCACAGTGTTATCCCATCTTTCAACCTCTCCCTCAGTGCATTATACTCTATCATTGTTTCCATTTTTTTTTGCACGTGGAAGACAAGTCCAGCCTTGTCAATCCAACCATCCTTAAAAATGTCCATTCATATTTTCTGGCTAAATTAACCAATGTCACAGAATCCTTGTGTTGTAATGACTCAGTACTCTGCTTTTCAGCTACAAAGAAATGAATTAATTTCATCCGTGTGACAGTAACAAAATATAAAAAAGACGACGAATATTAAAAATACCAAAAAACCAAAGAGTTTAACAATGTCGATAAGCAAAAGTAGTCATTCCCTCATCTAATATATATCTTTTATTACCAAAACAGCTTAATGAAACTTTATTTATTTCATAACTCCCAATTTGATGTTTTTCACTTCTTATATTTTTCATCTTGTTATGTCTTTGTTCATTATTAAAAAACACTTGTCTGTAATTTCATACTTAATATCTTTTTCGATAACTTTGTTTTTAATTCCTTTAGCTGTATGTGAACTTTTGTTGCCGTCTTTAACATAACTATACATCTTTGATCTTAGACCAAGAACTTCAGTTATAGAAACTCCACATGTTTCATCTTTAAATTTTCCAATCACTTTTCTATTCTCATCACTGTAAAATTTAGAGTCTTTAGAATAATCACTGTTGTCAAATATACATCTATCCTTCCAAAAGTCTTAATGGTAAACATCTTCCATTTTAATTTCATATGTTAATGAATCTCTTTCTGTAAATAATAATTTTGCTTTGTCGCCATGTTTACGTTTGATATATCTATATAATGAAATTTGTACATCAATGTTTTTGAAAGATCTAAATACACATTCCAACATAAGCTGGTCTGTTTAAAGTTAATGTTTCTTTGATGTCATTAACTGCAACCAAATTCTCATTAAGGTGGTTCGTACCGGTTTTCATCATTTTAATGGTTTGTAACTTTGAAAGAATACAACGGAAAGACTAACCAAGGCCAGTTGAACACTTTTATGGGGTTGAATTATATAATAATTGGTGATCCAAAAATAGGTGTCATTTCGTCAGTAGCAGTTTCCATGGTAATGCTTTCATAGGCATATTAAGACACATTTTTTAGTTTGTGGCTTAAATAATTAGAAAACTAACCCAGTGAGCCCGTGATTTTTTTCAGTGATTGCTTTTGGCTCTTGAAAAGGAAATGCAGAAAGATTTTTTAAAAATTCTACGGAGCAGAATTTCAGGAAATCTATAAAAAAGGCAATTTTCACACATTGCAAATGTCCTTCCTTAGAATTTTCTAATTTTTTTTCTGATGTTTCCTTTCAATGTTATTATCATATTGGAAAAATAAAAAAGAAGAGGTCACTGGACTTGTTTTCATGCAATAGCTTTCGTGAGTTTAGCAATTTCCCCGTGCATTCTCACGCATTTAAAGATCTGGATTCTATAAGATGGACATTTGCTCATGATCTGTTTTTTTAGCTACCACTTACAATTGCGTGTGCTCGTGCAAGCACCTTCAATGTGATGTTTACAGACATTTATTCAGGGGTTTCATTAAGGGCCAGGCACCGGCCAAATTGACCGGTTGTAAGGACAGTTTTGCCCACCTGGTTTAACAATGTGGAGGAAGGTTTATTTTATAAAGAAGTTTAGTTCAAAAAGTTTTGTCTGCCTGTGAAAACCAGTTGCCCTGCTGCTGAAAAAATTAATGAAACCCCTGGTTTACAGCTAAGAAAAGAATTAAACAGCCATCAAAGACAGCCTCCCAGGCTCATCTTAAAAATCCTACACATTACTTCTGGCTATATCATATTATTTCCTTGAAGTTTGAAATTCTTCTTCCACTTCAGGTAGATTATCCTTCACTTGAGGTCTTCTTTTTTTGCCATCGCAATATTTCATATCAGTTGAATACTTGTTTGAAATGTGAAGTGAAGCAACCTTTACTTCTCGGAAAATATTCTTCTTTATTTTAGTTTCTATCTCCTGCATTCACAGCGGCCGCTCAACACATGAAATACAAGCTCTTAGGTAAACTTCTCAGATAAGTAAAAAAAATCCTCACACCCCCATCTTTGTTTTAAATTTTCGTCTTTTAATCACGTGCTTCTTTTGCACGTTTCTCTCTCGCATGACGCAAGAGTTATTTGTTCCCCGCGTGAGGAAACTAGTACAAGCCACCTTAAACGATTTGCTTGAAACAAAACTTGGCTTAGAGACTAATTTTGTAAATTTTTTCTCATCTGTAACTAATCTGACATCAACACGATTTCTTAAGTTTCCATGATCTTTCCAAATACAGATTTATCAATTAATTTGAAGAAATCTTCCTCAAAAGCATTCTTAGCTTGAGTTCTCTTTTGTGTATTAAAATCAATATATTTTTTGAACCATGGTGATTGATTGAATTCAAGCGCTCTGTGAACCTTTTTTAATTTCATTCCAAGTTGTGTATATATTTACCACAATTCAGTACTCCATCACACAAAGAAAACATACACAACAATAATTCTGATGAGTGCATGAGATTTTTTTTCATCGTTCAGAATCTCCATTCAAACTAAAAACATTAATCTCAGAAAGTTTTCAGATAACTTATGTAAGATATTCACAACAAATTTCTTAAATTATCAGCCTCAGCACATAGTAACAGAACCCATATTATCCAAGGTGGCAGTTGCTTCTTGAGCACTTTTGTTTTCTTTGTACAGATTCCTCCATGAAATTCTCCCTAACTTTTCCCTTCATGCACTATACAACTCACATTTTACCAAGAAAGGTATAGCTTATAAATAAATCAGACGATACATTCCAGAAGACAAGCTCAAAATAGACTTCCCTCATCTTTGGAGTGAGTGAAGAATGATTGAAATCACTTTGAATAGCATTATTACCTTTGTCTTTGCTTTCAGCCTACAGAGACTGGCTTGTTTGGTTTACAGTGACTTTTGAAGGTAAACTCTCCAGTACAGGTAGCTGTAGTGGATTTCCCACATGCACACTTGCCTTTTTTCCACAATAGTAAGAAAAACAGACATAAAAGAAACTGGAAACATATAGCCTCTTTTGGCAAATTATGAAAGAACTGAATGGCCAAAAACACAAACTGTATATTCTGCTTTCAGAAATTAATGTCTTTGATAAGAATCATCTGCGGATGGAAGAATCAGAGAACAAGAAAACTGCAGCATCAGTTAAGATGAAAAAATTTGGAAAATTTCTAACCTTTTTGAAAAATTATTTTCGACTTCCGTTTTTCGCTGCGCTGTAAAAAAAAGAAATTGGACTTAAATTTTTTCGTTTTCGTAAGGAATTTGGGTATCTTTAAAACAGGGAATGGGGAATATTTAAAAGCGGGACTCTTAAGTAGCGAGAAACTTTAAAATGTGAAATATTTAGAGGAGTGAAATGAAACCGCCCAAATGAATGAGCGGTATGGAAAAGTTGCTCTTTTATTAAATTTTACGCAAGGGAACCATCCAAATTAACGACTGTTGACACAGGTAAAATATCGCTCTTCTTAATTCACAGTCATAGGAAACCGTACTTTCAAGCAAGCACCGACTTTAATTAGAGCGCGTGGGAAGGCTTTACAAAGGACTAAAATAGGATTAGGCGGAAAATAAATCTAGATTAAAGGTAACACGTACGTGAAAAAACATAAACATAGTAATGTGACGATGTATACACAAACCTGCATGTTTCGCGCTTCAAGAAATAGGTAGAAAGCTGAATATTGTAAAAGAAAAATACTACCTGTAGCCATAGTTAGTCCCTTGCACAAAGTATGCTGTAGCACGCTTCAAATTTCTAAACTTTATACTCGTTGAAGTTTCCAAAAAGTTTGGAAACATTTCTTGACAGCTTTATGGTATGATATGAAATGTTCACTTCAACATCACGACGACTTTGCTTCAGTTGGACGATGAAGAAACAATATTTTGTATAAAATTATATTTATTTGGAAAAATATCGCTTGCAAGTGTTAAGATTCCATTTATTGAATATTACACATTTTAAAGAATTATAAATGTTATAAATCCGTTGTATCCGAATGAAAAGCGCGCATTATTGAAATAGGATTGGTTTATCAAGAACCATATGGATTAAATTTGAAGCCTAAGCATAATTGTTATGAGTCAGATATTTACTTACAGTAATCCTGCGGTTGGAGATGAATTGCAGCTACTTCTTTGCGCAACAATAGTGCTCCGGGCCTATGGATGAACACTTACATTTTTTACTACAGTAGCGTGCCAATCGGCGTGGCAGTGAATAAATTTGGTGTAGCGTCCCGTATGTAGGTGATGACGCGAATACAGGCATTGTGACGTAAAATTTGCGCGCCAAAGTGTAGTGAAGTGATGTGAAGTGAAGTGAAGTGAAGTGAAGTGAAGTTTTAGTAATTTGCGGGCGGCTTGAAAACAATAAACGGTGGAGTGATGTTGTTTTGGTTAGGGTTGAGGGCCGCCTGGTGACGGAAGGGCATCATGAAGCTTGGAAGTCCGTAAGCCTTATGTATCATTCAAAGAATGGAGTGATAGAAGACGGGGGCCAGGTGGAAAGTGTAAAAGCAACTCTCTATGTTTAATGCGCAAATAAATAAGCATGGCAAAGGGAGTTTTTGAGTTTGTAGAGTGGGGGTTTTAGGTGTTGTGTTTAAATAGCGAGTTGCTTTTAGACTTAGACTGAATTTAGTATATGCGAGAAGGGCTATTGGTGCTCGCGAATGAACTTTCCAATATGCAATTATAAAAATCAGACCACTAAGATCAGTAAGGTTGATATCGGTACTCTAAAAGAGCTAAGTATCAAAGAGATAAGTAGCTAGTGAGAGTAATTCCACAAAGCAGAAAAGCAGACGACTTGAAAGCAAAGGAAAGCAGATATTTTTCAAAGCAATAAAGTAGATCATCGATCGATTGCTACATAATACAGAACAAATCTCCACTATCGTCCAAAAGATCTTACATGAAGTATAGAAGTGTCTAAGGAGAAAGGAGATAAGGTAAGAGCATTAAAATTTAAGAAGGAGAATTAAAAAGAAAAAAAAAGGAAAAAAGAGGAATGTGGTCTTGGATGGATCCAACAGCTGGAGTTCGAACTCTGATCTTAAGATTACTAGTCCAGCGCCCTACCGCTGTACCATGAAATTTTATAAGCGATACTAACAAACGTCTGCGCATGCGTGGCGTCAGCATGTTTATGTTGTCGTTCGCGAGCCGTTCGATCGTTTGATCATCGATCTAAATCGCGGATATATTTTTCCTTTCAAACTAGAATGTGAGGATGCTACTTAAAGGAACGTATTATTTTTTGTAAATGTTTATTTGCTTGCTCAAGAGCCAGCCAACAACTTTCAGTACTCGACCGGTAACCCGTGAAACACAATGACGCATTCCATGCCAAGCTTATTAAATTTCTTTGAGTACATATAATTGACCTCTCAGTTTCAGATAATAAGCTAAGATTCAAATTCATACAAGGTAAATAATGCCATGCTTTCATGCTTTGGTAATAAATGGTAATAATTTGTTAATAATTTGGTAATAATCTATCCTAGATGGTGTTACATGAAGAAATTGTTTAGAAATCAGTCCTAAGAGTGTATTGGAAATGAGTTATTACCATATGGCATGAGAGAAGCTCCCGGCCATGAATTTGCATGAATTGAAAAATTGATGGCAAAAGCTACAAGAAATCCATTGTTCTCGTAGATGCATGCAGGTGCCATCCATTGAAAAAGAGAAATTTCTGGGAAAGTTGGAATAAGTACAATGGTGTTGGAACTCAAATGAAAACAGAAGTTGGATTTGCTTCAGGATTAATGCTGAAAGGGAGTTCAGAAACGACCCATCCTTAGTGGTTTGGTCCATTATATTGTTAAGTGCTTTTTAAATTAGGGAGGGACTTGCATAGGTTGGTTCTATGTAGCACATGCACCAAAGAAAGACCAAAGAAAGGTTAGAGGAGAGTTTTGTGTGATTGAATCATAGATCATGTTGCCTTAAGTACGATTCCTTGAACAATTATCTGTTACACCCATGCCCATGCCTGACTCAGTGGAATATCCTGACTCACTGGAATATCCTCATTTGATGAATGAAAAAATTTGCTAACCAAAAAGTTGCTTCCTGTTCTGCCTAGAATTGTTCACTGTGAAATAGTGCAAAGAAAGAACAACAAAGTAAACTTCACTTGTTTTAAAAAATACTGTAGATTTATCTAGCAACCTTTGAATGAAATAGTGGGTTCATTTACAATAATTTGTAATAAGGGGAAAGGATGGGTGTTGAAAGTGTAAAATGATAAAAATGAAAAGTCAGTTGTTCAGTAATTCGACAATTTGCCCTGCAAATTCACATAGCTGCAAGGCAGTTATGTCAATAATAACGCAGGCAGGCAGCCGGGCTGGCAGCCAGGCAGGCAGCCAGGCAGGCAGCATTAAAATAAAAACGATCATTACTTTTATTTTATTTTCCTATATATCTAAAAGATATTCCTTTGAGATACGAAATTTTGGAAGGACGTAAAGGGAAGCAAGAAAGCGAGATATCAACCAGGGAGCAAGTGGCGGGTGTAACGCCTGCCTGCCTGCCTGCCTGCTATTGCGTCAAACTTTACTTAACTTAATATAATTACATTGGAAAAAAAAAGAAATTAAAGACAAAAATACGTGAAAAACGAATAAAAGGAAAATGAAAGATTGTAAGTGTAGAAGAGACAAAGACCTATATAGAGTTTCTACGTTTCCAAACAATAATGCAGAACTGGTTGGGTTTGGTTGAACTTAGCTGCATTCTCACAAAAAGCTCCATATAGCAATCTTTAGTGTCCACACTATTGAAAAGAACTCTTTCTGTTTGTTTTCCTTTTGAAAGATCTCAAACTGCAAGGCACCCAATTCAAGGTAGTACCAAAATTTAATGTGCGTTAGAGTGAGTGCCACCGCACCATGAGGCACAAATGCAAAGCAAGGGGTTACCCTTGCACGCACGCATGCCAGTTCTAGGAAACGCATGACAACGCGGCCAAAATGAAATCCCAGGTTCACTAGACCCAAGGGAGTTCGGGAATAGACGCGCAACTCCGAGAAATCAGGGACGCCGGAGTGGCATGCGTGAGAGTCAGTCCAACCCGGGTTAAGGCCCCATGTGCAAAGCAAGGGGTCAGCCTTGCACGCACGCATGCCAGTTCTAGGAAACGCATGACAACGCGGCCAAAATAGAATCCCAGATTCACTAGACCCAAGGGAGTTCGGCAATAGACGCGCAACTCCGAGAAATCAGGGACACCGGAGTGGCATGCGTGAGAGTCAGTTACACCCGGGTTAAGGCCCCATGTGCAAAGCAAGGAGTGAGGCTTGTACGTACGCATGCCACTTCTAGGAAACGCATGACAACGCGGCGAAACTGGAATCCCAGGCTCACTAGACCCCAGGGAAATCGGCAATAGACGCGCAACTCCGAGAAATGAGGGACGCCGGAGTGGCATGCGTGAGAGTCAGTCGAACCTGGTTTAAGGCCCCATGTGCAAAGCAAGGGGTCAGCCTTGCACGCACGCATGCCAGTTCAAGGAAACGCATGACAACGCGGCCAAAATGGAATCCCACGCTCAGTAGCCCCAAGGGAGCTCGGGAATAGACGCGCAACTCCGACAAATCAGGGACGTCGGAGTGGCACGCGTGAGAGTCAGTCGCACCTGGGTTAAGGCCCCATGAGCAAAGCAAGGGGTGAGGCTTGCACGTACGCATGCCACTTCTAGGAAACGCATGACGACGCGGCCAAAATAGAATCCCAGGTTCACTAGACCCAAGAAAGTTTGGGAATAGACGTGCAACTCCGAGAAATCAGGGAAGCCGGAGTGGCATGCGTCAGAGTCAGTCGCACCCGGGTTAAGGCCCCATGTGCAAAGCAGGGGGTCAGCCTTGCACGCACGCATGCCAGTTCTAGGAAACGTATGACAACGCGGCCAAAATGGAATCTCAGGTTCACAAGACCCAAGGGAGTTCGGGAATAGTTTGAGAGTTTGAATAGTTTGAATACTTTGAATAGTTTTGAGAGGCTGTGCACTATAAGGCACATGTGCGAAAGAAGGGGGTGAGCCTGGTACTCACGCATGCCACTTCCACGAAACGCATGAGAACGCGGCCAAAATGGAATCCCAGCTTCACTGGACCCAGGGCAATTGGGAAAAAGACGCGCAACTCCGGGAAATCCCGGGCGTCGGAGTGGCATGCGTGAGAGTGACAGGCTGTGCGAAAGAAGGGGGTGAGCCTGGTACTCACGCATGCCACTTCCACGAGACGCATGAGTACGCGGCCAAAATGGAATCTCAGCTTCACTGGACCCAGGGCAATTGGGCAAAAGACGCGCAACTCCGGGAATTCACGGGCGCCGGAGTTGCATGCGTGAGAGTGAGAGGCTGTCAGAAAGAAGGGGGTGAGGCTGGTACTTACGCATGCCACTTCCACGAAACGCATGAGAACAAGGCCAAAATGGAATCCCAGCTTCACTGGACCCAGGGCAATTGGGAAAAAGACGCGCAACTCCGGGAAATCCCGGACGCCGGAGTGGCATGCGTGAGAGTGAGAGGCTGTGCGAAAGAAGGGGGTGAGCCTGGTACTCACGCATGCCACTTCCACGAAACGCATGAGGACGCGGCCCAAATGGAATCCCAGCTTCCCTAGACCCAGGGGAGTTGGGGAATAGACGCGCAACTCCGGGAAATCACGGGCGCCGGAGTGGCATGCGTGAGAGTGAGAGGCTGTGCGAAAGAAGGGGGTGAGCCTGGTACTCACGCATGCCACTTCCCCGAAACGCACGAGGACGCGGCCAAAATGGAATCCCAGCTTCACTTAACGCAGGGGAGTTGGGGAATAGACGCGCAACTCCGGGAAATCACAGACGCCGGAGTGACATGCGTGAGAGTGAGAGGCTGTGCGAAAGAAGGGGGTGAGCCTGGTACTCACGCATGCCACTTCCACGAAACGCATGAGGACGCGGCCAAAATGGAATTTCAGCTTCACTGGACCATGGGCAATTGAGAAAAAGACAAGCAACTCCGGGAATTCACGGGCGCCGGAGCGGCATGCGTAAGAGTGAGAGGCTGTGCACTATGAGGCACATGTGCGAAAGAAGGAGGTGAGCCTGGTACTCACGCATGCCACTTCCCCGAAACGAACGAGAACGCGGCCAAAATGGAATCCCAGCTTCACTAGACCCAGGGGAGTTGGGGAATAGACGCGCAACTCCGGGAAATCACGAGCGCCGGAGTGGCATGCGTGAATCAGGGACGCCGGAGTGGCATGCGTGAGAGTCAGTCGCACCTGGGTTAAGGCCCAATGTGCAAAGCAAGGGGTGAGGCTTGCACGCACGCATGCCACTTCTAGGATCTGCCTTGCGCGAGCGATTGTGACAGCTGTTGCAAATATCAACAAGCATAAGTGGACAGCATCACAGTTGAAACATGGCTTTAGCGACTCAAGAAAGCTACAGAGACATGAGGCAATCAAGCCTCATGAAGAGGCGGGTGTTGAGATGAATCAACACGGCTCAACGCTCGAAGATATAGCTAAATTCGCAGATCATCTCAAGGTTCACACTAATATCATTGATGGTGATCAGTTTAATGAGTTGATCTTCACTTCTGAAAATGAGCGCCACAATGGCAGTGGCCAGCATATTTACCTTTACAAAAACAAAAATCACTTCGATGTAATCACCAGCATGCCAGCGTTTCTGGCGAAAAAATATTACTGCCACACATGCAAGAAAGCTTACACACATCGCGACCTACACAATGTCCGGCAAAGTGCATCGCATGTTTCTAGTACTTTCCAGACGGCGAAAAGTGCTCCGGTGAAGAGATAAAGGGCGCTGATTGTAATAGATCGTTCTTCGGAAGAGAGTGTTTCGAAGAGCACAAACGTGAAAGATCTTCAGGGAAGGTATCAGATATTGTCTGCAAAAGAGTTGCGAAATGCCTTAAGCGTGAGCGAACGGTGACCAATGGTTTGGAAAACCATATCTGCGGATATTCAATGTGTAAGAACTGCCACAAGTGCTGTGACATGAATAAACATCTCTGTTTCATGACACGTAAACAGTGTAAGGGTGGAAACTGTCTACAAGCTCCGCTGTGTAGTGAAAAGAAGCTGTGCTACCCTTGCAAGACGAGAAGTGAAGACTACATTATCTATGATTTTGAAGCGAACCAAGAGAGCAGTGTGCATGAGGTTAACTGGGTCGATTGTCAAGATTTTCACGGTAATATACACACATTTGAAACGGTTGACGAGTTCTACAAATTCGTTTTTAATGATGAGCACAAAGGATTTACATTTATCGCCCACGATGCGAGAGGCTACGATGCTCAGTTTATCCGAAACTGGTGTATTGAAAACGGTGTGAAACCTTACGTTATTTACAATGGGATGAAGATTATGTATATGGAGGCATGTAGTATTAGATTCATCGACTCTTTAAACTTTGTGCATGACAGATTATCAGCGTTCCCTAAAACATTTGGCTTGACAGAGTTGAAAAAGGGGTATTTCCCTCATTAAATTAACACAAGACGTAATGAGTATTAAGTCGGACCGATACCAGCTAAGAGATACTTTGGTGTAGACCAGATGAGGTCAAGCGTAAGAAAAGATTTTTTGAAATGGCATGCCGCAAGAGTTGAGGAGAATTATGTCTTTGATTTTAAGAAGGAGCTTCGCGAGTACTGCCGGAGTGATGTAGATATTCTCCGACGAAGCATGTTGCAGTTTCGAGAAGATTTTATAGAGCTAGAGAATATGGACCCTCTTCAGTACGTTACTATCGCCTCTGTGTGTATGACCATCTACAGAAGTAACTACTTGCCTGAAGAGAAAATCGGCGTTGTGAGAGACGTATCACGTGGTGAAGCATACAGCAAGATGTCGATAGCATGGTTAGATTGGATATCAAAGAGAGATGGTTTGTCGATAAAACACGGACTGAATGGCGGTGAAGCGCATATACCGGGTGTCGGAAAAGTCGACTGCTTCTGTGCGAATAGAGTTTACGAGTTTCAAGGTTGTTTTTGGCACGGCTGCGCGAAGTGTTACTCTGGTGACACAATCAACAGTCAAAATCAGATCGATACGTTGACTCTGAGAAAAAGAACTGCTGAGAAAGGTGGGAAGATTAGAGCTGCAGGGTTCGACTTGGTCGAGGTTTGGGAGTGTGAGCTAGCGAAAGATAGAGATTTTGAAAAGTTTTACAAGACATGGGATCGCGAGATAGTCGACCCTCTCAATCCGAGAGACGCATTCTTCGGTGGACGCACAAATGTAACGAAACAGACCTATGATTTCAAAGAGGGTGAGAAAGGGAAGTATGTCGACTTTGTCAGTCTATATCCGACGGTGCAATTCTTCAAAGACTATCCGACCGCTCACCCGACAAAGATACTTGACCCTCCTCAAGAGTATGATGAGAGCTGGTTCGGTTTTGTAAAGTGTAGTCTTACCTCCAAGAGGCCTTTATCACCCTGTATTACCGGTAAAAACGAAATGTGGTAATGCGGAGAAGCTGTTGTTTCATCTTTGCAGGACGTGTGCAGAGGAGAGGACTCTGAAGTGTAAACATTCAAAAACAAAGAGCAGCATCTCTGCAGTGTGTGCGCTGAGAAGAGAGGGCAGAAGTGTAACCATTCAGATGGTGAACGATCGTTTGTTAGGACATGGTGCACAAATGAACTGAATTTAGCTATTGAGAAAGGCTACGAGATTAAGAAGATCTTTGAAGTGTGGGACTTCAAAGAGAGAAGCGCAGACCTTTTCAAAGGTTATGTCCGAAGATTTATGAAGATCAAGATGGAATCAAGCAAGCTAGAGACTGGTGAGGGTTGTACGTATAAGAGTGTTGACGAGTACAAGTCAATCGTTAAATCGAAGCTTGGGATCGATCTTGGTAAGATCGAGTTCAATGCTGGAAAGAGAGCGATTGCGAAGATGTGTCTGAACAGTCTGTGGGGGAAGTTTGGACAGCGAAATAATATGAAGACTGTGTATGTCACTGAACCTGTAGAATTCTACAGAATTCTACTCGATGATAGTGTCGATGATCTGAACATTCAGTTTATAAATGAAGACATGGTCGAGATGTATTACATCTCGAAAGATCAGTTCTTCGATAATAGTAGAGATACAAACATCTTTATTGCAGCGTTTACGACAAGCCATGCAAGGGTAATGATGTATAGAGATGTTTTAGAACCTCTTAGAGAGCAGGTTCTCGGTTTTGATACTGACAGCGTATGGTATGTTGAAAAGGATGGTGGGCAGAAGATAAAAACGGGAGATAGTCTTGGTGATGCGACTGATGAGTTAGATGGGCACCACATTACAGATTGGTACGGATCCGGCCCAAAGTCATACAGCTACGCAACAAGTGATGGTAAAATGGTGTGTAGAGTCAAGGGCTTCACACTTAATCATGAGAACAGCCAATACGTCAATGAAAAGACAATGAAGCGGATCATTGAAGGACAAAAACGCCGAATTACTATTGTAAATGAACAAGCGATAACTCTTGATCCGGCAACGAAACGGATAGTCAACCGATACCAAGAGAAAGACTTCCAACTGTGCTACGATAAGGGGGTAATGGTGAAGACCGAATCCGGAATAGACACGTTACCTTATGGGTATTGAGTTAGGTTAAATATGAGGTGAGCTATACCCGCTATAGTACCAATATAAGCGAATATATTCGCTTAAATATTGAGGTGAGCTATACCCACTATAGTACCAATATAAGCGAATATATATACCTAAATATGGTGTGGGCTATAGTGGGTAACATATTCTACTTTCTACATAACGCATGCCAACACGCTCACAATGGAATCCCAGGTTCACTAGTCCCAAGGGACCTCGGGAATAGACGCGCAACTCCGGGAAATCACGGGCGCCGGAGTGGCATGGTGGTCAAAGTGCCAAAGTGGCTATAATGCCAAATCGGCCACTAGTGGCCAAACATGATGCTAAAACGGCCATTAGTTGCCAAAATGCCAAATCGGCCAGTAGTGGCCAAAATGCCAAATGGGCCACTAGTGGCGAAAATGCCGGAAAAACTGCCACTTGCGGCCAAAATGTCAAATCGGCCACTAGTTGCCAAAATGCGAAAACGCCAACATGGTCACTTATGGCCAAAATGGTAAATTGGCCAGTATCGGTGAAAATCTTAAATGGGCCTGCAGTGCGTGCTGATAAAGTTATATTTTATAGGGTTGAAAAGAATGTGTTTATGGATATTCCGCCAGTCCATTGTTCCTTTATTTCAGGTATTAGGGCCATCCTAAACAACAATAAACAATGAATGAGATTGAGTCAAAAGCGAGTGAAGTCCAGCATTTCAGTCGCTTTCTAACTCTACGAAGTAGCAACTGGAAACCTCAACGAAGGGTCTTTTTTGTCAAGGTGGAATTATCGCATATCTCACTAGTGTACACCTTTTGAGAAATGAATTGAAGAAATAGGGTATCAAATGTCAGACTTTTTGTGAACTGGTGAAAACTTTTATTGAAAGTGGCTCCTTGTAAAGAGATCAGGCGGCATTTATTCATTCACTACCCAGGTAGCCAGACCCACCTTTTCCCCACCCCACCCATGGACGAAAATTCTGTACCCTCTCCCGTCTTCTGATGTGTTTATGATGCCCTTTTAACACAAGCAAAATTAAAGTCTCGATCAGTTCGTCTCGAAATGATCGGCGACAAAAAAATGTACAACAGTGACGCATCTGTTATCTCAGAATTATGTCTAATCCAGCTCATTATTATCCAATCATTCTTAATCCTCACTGGAATGTGATGATCTGGAAGGGAAATAGTAAGAATTTTATCACCCGCAGGTCCTGTTGTGCGGTCATTTCTTTGAACAAGGCGATCAAACACATGTTGCTAAACCTTCGGTAGAGGAAAAACAATAGAGGACGTGCTAATACTCAGTCAACTGTGGGCGGCTTGTGAAACAAAATTATTTTGATAAGGGTACATTTGATAATTGTTCCACTTCAATCTGCCAAAACCGCAATCCAAATTTGACTTTCGGAAGCGAAAAGTAACTACACTGTACGTGATTTGGCGTATTAAAACAATCCGATCGCTAAGGTAAACAATTCATTTTATCTCTCTACACAGATTACAAATTAGTCTTTTCAAAGATAACATAAATGAGTCCTTTTGTGTCTTACAACTAGACCCCATTTGCTAAGTTTTCGGTCTCTCATTCAATTGTATCATTCGTAACTGCTTGGCGCCACAAACTCCGCCAGAAACCCCGTGGTATCATAATGTTTTGTTTTATTGTTGTTTGAATGAATAAAAACATATTGGTAATTTCCGATACCGAATGGCGTCAACCATCAAGAAATTTTCCCCATCCATTCTTCGTTTCTCATTTTATTTAGTTATCTTTAGTTTCGACAGTATTCAGACGCGATACCGGAAGTCATTGAGTGACAGTACTCCGCTGCTTCCGGTTACCCTTCAAGAACATTCTTTTGGTCATTTTCTCAAATTGAGATGTTTAAAGTTTCTTTAGAATATTGCTCAATTTGAAGATCAACAAAATTGATTCAATCACAAATATTACTTCCCGTTTTAGAAACAACGATTTCAAAAATAGGCATTGAAAAGTTCGCGTGCTTTTTGTGAGTCAAAGACAGGAGCTTGACACGCGTTTGTCATTCTTTACGGGTCAGGGAGAGGTTGTGATTCGTCCTTGAATGTATAGCAACTTAGAGAATAACTGTGCATATAAAAATAAGGATATTGCAAAATTTTGGTTCTTTCTACCATTTAGATATAATATTATATGGATCAAAACAGATAAAAATACTTTTTAGATGTGAGTAATAACCTCTCTTACTCCCTCCCCTCCCAGCTAAAAATTTCTGTATTCTGTTGTCAGCTCGTCACAGTGTCAGACTCTTAGACAGGATGTCGCCAGTAATGTGACGTCACACTATCTTGGGCTTGCTCTTTGAGGAAAGAATACTATTTGACAGATAGTATTGAGTTGTTTACGTGTTTCGTAGACCGTATATGTTCCTCTACTTGGTTTTTGTTCGCCGTTAATCGAATTGTACGGTTTGAAAAAAGCCAAAGGCCAACATTTGTCGCCAGTGTGGCGCGGCTGTTTATTCACTAAACGCGTCGCCACTGAGGCGCCATTGAAACATTTGATAGTTCGAGTTGTAAGGATTGGTGTTCACAGTATATGTTTGGGCCGCTGAACTCCACTATCTACTGCGCTTAGCTGAGATTTGCAAGTTCGTTCGTTGAATTGTTTCAGTGCTAGCGTGTTACTGAACGAAAACCGACGAATAAGCACTCAGAGTAACGAAAAAAGTGGACAAGATGACTACGATGGCCTCGCTGTTTTCGTTCACCCCTCCTGCCGTGAAAAGACTCCTTGGCTGGAAGCAAGGCGACGAGGAGGAAAAATGGGCTGAAAAAGCCATTGAGTCTCTGGTTAAAAAGCTTAAAAAGAAAAAGGGCGCCTTGGAAGAGCTGGAGAAAGCTTTGTCCAACCCTGGACAACCTTCGAAATGTGTCACAATCACGCGCAGTTTGGATGGTCGCCTTCAAGTCTCTCACCGAAAGGGTCTGCCGCATGTAATCTACTGTCGCGTTTGGCGATGGCCCGATCTTCAAAGCCATCACGAGTTAAAGCCTTTAGATTGCTGTGAATATGCCTTTGGGCTAAAGCAGAAAGAAGTCTGTATTAATCCCTACCACTACAGACGTGTAGAAAGCCCAGGTGAGACGAGACAGACAGCTTTAGTTATTATTGTAAAAAAAAAAGTGCCTCAGAGCTTTGAAGTACTTAAGTGTCTCGCGATTTATTGGGCTATTCATGTTCTTTGTACTTTTTCCCTTCAATGTTTAGAATCGTTTGTTCGTTTAATCAGCTGATCAAGATGTTTCGTAGGCGAAGTTTAGCGCACGGAAACATTTTTCACTCGTATGAATGGATCAACGCAAGCTGACATTTTTCCGTTCATTTTTTTCCATAGTATTACCACCAGTTCTTGTTCCGAGGCAGAGCGAATATCCAAGGCCTCCTCCACCGTTGCCTTCTCCATTCCGAAGCGCCGATGACCCACCGATGCCTTACAATGCTTCTTTTCCATTCCAAAATCGACAAAATCAACTCGATCACAGTGCAAACACCTTTGATATGCCAGGTGATGAAAGATTCTTATTTGTTTTACTATTTCTCAGATTTGCACCATTTTGTTCTTTTTTTCCTATCGCGCAGGTGCAATATTCGATATATGAACTGGTTCTTTTTCCTAGTAACACATACAAATGCAACTTTTTAGCAACATTTCGATACTTCCCTCGTAAGGCTTTTATCTATTCCCGAAAATGGACCTTGCACGTGTTTGCTTTTAAATAGCTAATATTAGGGTTGGGATTTTAGCAGACATTCCGCCAAAGAAGAAATGATAAAGTTGAATTATAGAAGTGATATTTACTCCTCTATGTCTATATTTGGCATGTGGGAGTGAAGAAGATTGCTATGAAATCAAAAAATATTCAACGTGTAAATTTTAGAACTCTCCTCTCCTTGCACATATGCATGTTGGTAAATGAATTTTGTTTGGATATCATAATTTAGGATTTTATATAACTTTGCTGCGTTGACATAATCAGATAATATATGCCTCGGGACATAAACATTTTAACGTTTAGTTTGGTGACGCTGTTGAGTCAAAATTACAACACGGCCAACATTTTGTTTGTCAAATATTTGCGGGGGGGAAAAGGAAATTTAATATTTCTTGTGAAAGATTTGCACCTTGTTGTACAAGTGCTTGTTGCTGGTTACTACGACTTGATTTGTTTTGTTTTTCTACCTTGCGAAATTTATATTTAAACTTCAAACAGGAAATCCATTTTATAGTGGTGAATTGTAAAAGAAAGAGACTGTCGCCTTTTATGAAGGCATCCAGAGCATTAAAATCAGATTAGACTTGTGTGATTCCCAGGATTTTATGGGCGTTATTCATTAAGAGGTTTCTCTTTTGGCAGTGTGCAGTTTAAGTCAATGAACTTGTATAAAATGTTTATTTTTTTAAACCACCAATTTTTTGTACTTTGAGATTAATGTGTGTGGGCATTTTCGATATCAATAGGTGGTCAACCAGGCTAGCGATGTTGTTGTTGTAGACAGTCTTGAAGAGTCTGATATTGTCTTTATCTACGCAATACTCGAGCAGATGATAACTTTTTTTTCGGAGTAGTAATGTTGGAACTGATACATAAAAAGTAATATTTCAGTTTTGCACTGTTTGATTAAACTCTCCACAACCCCACAACACAACTCTTCTAACTAACCCCACATCTAAGAATTCGTAATATTTTAATGTGTTCCTATAATGGAGGTATCTTTTAATGAATAAAAGTAACATTTGATCTGTGTGACGATTAAAGGAAGTTCTTTCAACATAACAATCAATGTGCACATAATAATGTACTCTTGTTTTCAAGATTTTTTTAGATTTTGAAAAACTGTTTGTTCATAGATTGTCTCTGGTCTTTTTGATAATTTCCTGACCTCATCTGGCAATCCCACAGTCACAGTAGTGTTCGGATGAAGAGGTTCTGTTCCAAGCTCTGGCATAATCATGTAATCATGTTCTCAGGCAAAATACTTTATTTCCCACAGTATCTCTTTCTACCCAGGCCCTGGTTTGAAAAATGTTCAGCAATAATTCAGGATTAAAAGTTAAAATTTTCCTTGATTTCTCTTTAAAAAAGTGTGTATTAAGGCTTATGTTTCATGAAAGTTTACCTTAGCTTAAAAAATATATATTTAAATATACTGTATTTACCCATGTACAAGTTGAACCCATGTATAAGTCAATCCCCCATTTTCAAGGTCAAAAATTGGATTTTTCATCATTTCTAGTTAAATAAAAATTCAGACCGAAAGAGTTTTGGAAATGGTTGATCTCTAATTTCTGAGAATGAAATGAAAACAGGGTGAATAGACCTCTTTAGCTTCATATGTCATAGAGTGATCACGTGATTCGAAATGGTAAACAAATGCGCTTTCAAGAGATGTAAAGTATCAGTTTTCAATAATGGTGCATTACTGCTGTGTGCATAATTGCTACAGTAACTCCACTAACAAAGGATTATCTTTTCATGGTTTTCCCAGTGATAAATAACTCATTAAGGTAAGCGAAATTTGGTAGCTTTTAAAAATATAGATGATCCAAAGTCAGTTTCTTGACATCTTTGATGAGATTGATCAGCTGCTAAAACTTGTTACTGTTTCATTTCAAGGTATATGGATTTCAAGAATTAAAAGAGATCCTAAAAAAAGATTTCAAGGTTTCGGCAGATACCAAAGTTTTTTCGGAGCATTTCCGATGAGAAGATTTTGTGTGCTTTGCCACAAAATCGAGAAGACTGAAAGCTGTAGCTTGCCCATCATTGTTCACTTAGTTGAAAACAAATCCCGAGCGATCACTTCCAGAGAAGAAAAAACAGATGGAAGAGCTTAATGCCATCCTAGAATCGGAGCTAACTGACACTGCTTCAGGGGGTGAGGGGAAATTCGATTTAACTTATGAAGAAGATTTCGTTTCCAAAGCTACTCAAGTTAATGTGGAGATTCCGTGCGATCACAGATTTTCACTGAGAGTTCTGTTTGATCTAGCCGATACACAAGCATGAGAAGAGAATTATTTCAATCATCTAACTGCGTTTAATAGCTATAAGAAATTTCAAGGGATTTTAAAATTTGTACTTCCAGGTGGAAAGAGAAAGAATATCATATACTGGATCAGTTATAGTACAGATTTAAAAATGTACCACCAAATTATTTGATTTTCAATACAGAAGCATATAAATCCTGCATCTAACATACACAGTGTAATCTGCGTAAGATGTAAATGTATTCCAGTCATGAAATACAACCCAGTGAGTGCAGTGACTAGTTGGCAAGGTAGTTGAGGGGCCACAAGTTTTGCCACGAGATCAGTGTGATTTACACAGTACAGTCATAATGTCTTCCACGTCTGCTGTATTAATGATTAGAGTCATTAATGCATAAACAATGTTTAGCACCACAGTGAGAGTATATTGTCTACCTTAGTTATTGGGACTTACCCAGCTTTACATGAAAATTTTGCTTCGATAACAATTACTCTTCCAGCTTCTCTTTTCAATGTAATGTTCACTGCGTGAGGAGCTTTGCTTTTCCTTTGGCTCCAGATCGTCCTCTTTGAGAAAAACATTATGTATGTAATTATCTGTAAAGAATTTATAGCCTTTCTCGCCAACCTCTTTTTTTCCACAGCCTGTCAAGTGTTTTTCAATAGTAATTGAAGATACCTTAGGGACTTTTTTCAAGGATTTTAACCAGTGTGACTCTAGCTCAACAATGAGAATCCGCCATCTTGAATGTTTTGTTTACCCATTTCACACCATGTGATCAGGAAGCTAAAGAGGTCTATTAAAAAGAAAAACTGCAAAGCAAAATGTAACAGTGTGCTGTGAAGTTTAGTAGTGCTTGTTTACATCACAATTTAAATTAAGCAGATACGATATTCAGGTGACAATGTAACTACTCTGCCTTTGCTCTTTAATCCAAAAGAGAAGCTTGTCTTTTAACTTTAAAGAACACATTTTTAAATAATATCAATGATATTGCACCAATATCCATTTATCAATTAACTTGTTTTTTCAATAATTTTTACCTTTACATTTTAGTTTTATTTTTATTGCATATTGCTTTTATTCTGGGGGCTGCCGTCAATGAGAATTTAGTTCCTCTCTGGCTTGACCCTTTTTGCCTTTTTGCATCTCGATGTTATTTCTATTGTTATCTGTCTGTATTATTATTATTATTATTATCTTATTATTTAGGCGAATGAAGTTATTATAAATAAAATAAATAAATAAATAAACTTGGGCCACCAGCACTGTTTCCCACAGTTGCTGCATTTGTTCTTAACACACACTTAAGTTTCTCGACTTGCTTCTGCCAATCATAAACTAACTTTTCGTTGACACAGAATTCATGGCCTGCTGCACAGTTGTTTGACTCCTGTGTGAACTTGAAGACTTGAAACTTAAACTTAGCTGAATATTTCATACGTTTTGAAGACATCTTCATAAACTCGTAATCAGGTGATAAGACATGTGGTTGAGACCTTGTTAACAATGTAACCTAAAACACTTACAAGTAGGTTTTGTTTTCTTATTAACCTGTAGTTACAATGTCATTGGTCCTTTTCTGGTTGCAAACAACAAAGAAAACAAAAGATTTGCATAACAAGCATAACAAGCCTTTGGTTACAATATCACAATTGGTCCATGTGCATAACAAACAAGACTGCGTGAGAAAGTAGCATTTACCAGGTCACTAAGCTGTTGTAATCATTTGATGAAAAAGAGAATTCAGCATTGTAAACAGTAGCAAAGCTGTAAGGAAAAATGTCGGCTCTACACATCAATTTTATCATTTCAAACTTTTTTGTTGATGAAGAACGTGCTGAAAACTGATGAAACTCAAACAAAATTAGAACTGGTTTTGTAAACTCAGTTTTCCTAATGGACTTCAGGCAATTGTAATGCCAATTTCTTGGATTGCTTGGGTGAGGTCTTTGTATATGACTCGTGTAGAAATCAGGGGTGAGTTTTTGGTCTGATTTTTCCAGTCATAAAAGGTTGGCACATATGTTGTAGTTCAATTTTATCCTTGGTTCAAATTTTATTTTCCTTTGTTCTCGGTCATGTTAATGTATGATAATAAGTTTGAAACAAAGGAAAATAAAATTTGAACCAAGGATAAAATTGAACTACAACATATACACGGGTAAATACTGGATATGATTAAAACTATGTGCAAAACTTCAAACTGAATGAAAAGTTGTTAGCTGACCCACAGTTAGCTAAGTGTGCTTTGATCAAACTGGCCCAGGGCTTAGTTGTGCAAATGTCAATAAATGTTAACCCAGGGCTTAATTTGAATCTGGGTTTCTTTATTTCTTTGTTCAAAAGCTTTTTTGGAATAATTTTCTCTATTCTTTAAGAGCATTCAATAATCACTTTGTAGACAGGAAGAGTTCTACTGAATTTTCTTTAAAAGCTTTCAGATCTGATATGAAAACTCGCATTAACCTTGGATTATGTTGTGGAGGCACAGTGGCCTCATGGTTAGTGCACTCGACTCCTGATCGAGTGGTCTAGGTTCGAGCCCTGGCCAGGGACATTGTGTTGTGTTCTTAGGTAAAGCACTTTCCTCTCACAGTGCCTCTCTTTGCCCAGGAGTACAAATTAGGTACTAGCAAATTTAATGCTTGGGGTAACCCTGTGATGGACTAGCATTCCATCCAGGGGGGAGTAGAAATACTCCTAGTTGCTTCATGCTACGGAAACTGGATTTAAGCACTGGCCCGATGGGCCACCTGGCTTGTTAACAGGCTTTGCCTGGAATATGTTAAACCCAGCTTTGAACAACCCAGTCCCAGGAGTATAAGTGAGTACTGGAAAACTGCCAGGGAATGGTGAAAAAAATGCTGAGAGGTGGGGAAGGGGGGTAACCTTGGAGGGATTGGCTTCCAATCATCGGGAAGAGCCTGTGGTAAAACTCCTGGTGGGTTCAGGATTGACCATTTGGTTTTGGACTCTTAGTTGGTGTCCAGGCCTTTGTTAATGTCCTCCCTTTTCGCAGTAACTGAATTTCTAACTAGGAACATTTCTGTTGTAGACACACCTACAGGCTACATGTCTGAAGATGGTGGATCTCCTCGTCCTGTTGACCCAAATGCCATGGAAGTAGATAATGTGAACTCCCCACCAGCTGTATCACCACAGACAGGTTAGTAAAAACCAGGAATCTCAGAATTTTCTCACTCTACCATTTTACAGTTTTGCAAGGTATTTGTTAATTAGAATATTCTAAACACAATATTACACTGTGATAATGCATTCTAGAGGTTAGCAAACTTAACTTTTAAGTCTCCATAACATTTCAACATTTTTGTGCTATTTTTTGTTTACAGATTTGCGCCATGTAACCCCAGTTAATTACCAAGAGCCGTCTTCATGGTGTTCTGTCTCTTACTATGAGCTGAATAACAGAGTTGGTGAACAGTTCCAGGCAAGCTCAACCAGCATCTTTGTAGATGGATTCACAGATCCTAACACAGCAAACTCCGAGAGATTCTGTTTGGGTCTCTTGTCTAATGTTAATCGCAATTCGACCATTGAAAGTACAAGACGACATATTGGTAAAGGAGTGCATCTGTATTATGTTGGTGGAGAGGTTTTTGCTGAATGCCTCAGTGACTCTGCAATCTTTGTGCAGAGTAGAAATTGTAACCACATTCACGGCTTTCATCCAACAACAGTGTGCAAGATTCCTTCAACATGCACCCTTAAAATTTTCAACAGCCAAGAATTTGCCCAGTTGCTTTCACAATCTGTCAATTATGGTTATGAGGCAGTGTATGAGTTGACGAAGATGTGCTCTATTCGCTTGAGTTTTGTCAAAGGCTGGGGAGCTGAGTATCACCGCCAAGATGTTACCAGTACACCGTGCTGGATTGAAATCCATCTGCATGGTCCCTTGCAGTGGCTTGACAAGGTGTTGATTCAGATGGGGTCACCTCGAAATCCAATTTCTTCTGTTTCCTGAGAACTTGAGTGAAGTTAATTTGGTAACACTGCGCCTAAGTGGCATCGTTTTATTTGGGATGTTGGGTTTATGCTGTTGGCTTTGAAAGCAGTTTATGAATCAGTGTTCAAAACTTTATTTGCTCCTGTATAATTGTGTAGTTGCACTATTTTGCTAAATCCATAGAGACCTAAAATTCAGGCTTTTGATGAGCAAGTTTTCTCCCAAGTTAAGGAGCACTGCTTGCAAAGAGTAAACATAATAGTTGTTCATATTATACATATTCCATACTTTTTGATTCAAATCAAAGTTCTCTTTATCCTAACAAAAGAAAATATATTATTACTCTGCCTTGTTATATGAAAAACATTTCTTGTCTCATTATGAATGCATATTAAAAATGTACTATCTTCTGGTTTATGTTTGAATACTACGTTTGGTTTACTATTACCTCCCTTGGTCTGATGGTAATTTCATCTTTTTTTTAATGCAGCTCATCTCTTTGCCTATAAGTTTATACAGTAGTGGTTTCATACAGGTGGAAGCCTTTAGTTTAGAGAATGTTTCTGTTACCCTTTGCATTAGTATCTGCTTTACAAAATAGTGATATCTTGAGGAAAATTTAGTAGTGTATCATTCTGGAGGTGGGGAGGGTGGGGGCGAAAGCTTAACCTTTTCACTCCAAAGATCTAACTAATATCTTTCCCTATTAGGTGTCAGAGAATTCCTTGTAAGTTAGTGAGAAGTAGTAAAATGCAACAGCAGCTGCTTTTGGTGAAAGGCATGTTTAGTAGTGATAAGTAACAACTGCTGTAACAGAGATGAAATAAAGTAATCTTTTCGTGGATGAAATTTTTAAAAAGTACGTCTACTTCGAGGCAATTATATATGACCTGTTGTGTCAACATGGGATTAATAATGGATTACACCCAACTTCTATACCACGCCCATCAACCCCTTTGAGTTTGTGACAAAGTAGTCATCTGTACATGAATTTCTGAGGGATTTCAATTGTGCAAAGCCCTCCTTAACGCGATTTTTTCTTATGAATCGTCCTCGCGTTATTTCCTACGCGTTGATGTGTCGAGCGTATAAAATTGTTGTAGTATTATTTGGAAGTGGATACTAATTAGAGTACTTGGGGGATTTGTCCATAGAACTTGTTCTCTACCCTCTTAGAAAATGCAGGGGAAAGTCAATGGGTGGTACTAGAAAAAAATACTTGGGAATCTTTGCAGGAATTTTCTTTTTTTTTTGGCATAAACAGAGCAGAAAGATCAAAAGAAGAAAGTTCCTCGCTTTGTTACATTGTTTGTGAACTCCCAACCTCCCCTCCCAAGTAAATCATTTGCATATTACTTTGACGTAGACATCTGTCTACGACGTAAACACTTCAGTTTACGATCGAGTTGATAGGGAAGGGTGACGTTCAAGTTGCTGCAGTTCTTCTTTCTTTATTAAACTTCAAAAGGAAAAGAAACAGGCGTCGAAGGACCTACGCAATAGCTTTTATAATTGTTTTATTTTAACGCATAGACTACGGTGGCAAACCGTCGAGTAGCAATTCGGATATGTCTACACTGTTTTCGTTCGCGCACCCTGCTGTTAAGAGAATACTTGGTTGGAAGCAAGGCGACGAGGAGGAAAAGTGGGCTGAAATTGCAATTTCGTACCTTGCTAGAAGGCTCAAGAAGAAGAAAGGTGCCATGGAGGAGCTTGAGAAAGCGCTTTCCAATCCGAATCAACCATCACAATGCGTAACTCTCCCTCGAGGCACCGATGGACGAATTCAAGTTCGTCATAAGAAAGGACTACCCCATGTTATTTACTGCCGTGTTTGGCGATGGCCCGATCTCCAGAGTCCTCACGAATTAAAGGCACTGGATTGTTGCGAATATGGTTTTGGGTTGAAAAAGAAAGAAGTTTGTATCAATCCTTTCCATTACAGTCGAGTGGAGACTCCAGGTGAGAGAGCTTGAAAATTTAGATTAATTAAGATTAAATGTCTTGACATGTTCTTTTCATTTGTTTGACGTGTATTTTTCTATTTTTTTAGATCTGGTCCAAAAGCCTGCTCAACATTACTTATCTTATTCTCATTTTCTTCTTTTTTTTTTTAAAATCAAAGGTGCAAAGTAGTCAAAAATTATACATTGAAACTATTTATTTGTATGCTATTTATACCCCCCTAGTTTCTTTAATGGGTCTTATTTTTTGCAGAATCACAATCATTAATTGCAATGCAGACAGGTTAAATATTGATCCACAGCTTAAATGATGACCATGCATACAGAGTGGTTGTCAAATGCCATCAAAATTTTTGCATTTGCTTTTTCATTAACTTGCATTTAACAATTATTCCCCAAAGGCAAGGTGAATATCATCAAATAATCCCCGAGATGAAGTCGAGGGGATTATTCGACAATTTTCACCGAAGCTGAGGCGAATAATTGTTTTAGTATAATTTCAGAGCTGAAGAACAGAGAAACTTCTAAAATAATAACATTTTAGTAACATTTATGAACATTTTCTTTTAACATTTTATATAAACTGCGTGGAGCGGTTTATATATAGTGGTTTATAAGGAACCGCTTGACCAATCAGATTGCTTGAAACTCTTTGCTCAGCTCGGAAATTATACCAAAATGTGTTAGCAAATAATGTTTTGACAATAAACACCATGATTAAAAGAGATCAATGAAGGAAACAGGGAGGGGGAGTGGTGCTACGTACACCAGGGAAATGTCCTTTTTGGCAAACAAAAGCTATAACTACAAGCAAATGATAAGAATGGAATACACTTGAAGCAGACTACCTACTCCTGCCAGATTGTTTTATCTTACACACTCTCTTGTTTCTTTGTCATAAGCTTTTATTTCCCTCACTCTTCTTTCCCCTCCTCTCTTTCCCTTACCAAATTCCCAGCCATCCATCTTTTCAGTTAATCTCCACAAACAAGCAGCTTGAGATATATTGCTTGGAGTATATGCTAATCTATTACAGCTTACCCCTGAGCACAATTCTCCTCATGTACCCCTGACAGTTCTCCAGTACAATTTATACTTGTATGAGAGAGGCACTGACAGAGTAAAGAGTCTGGTCTCACAAAACAACACAATGAGCCTACCAAGTCATGAATTAACAGACCTGTTGGTAATCCATGGTTTCTCTCACAAACCCTCGGACCACTGCCCCTCTTACAATCAGTCTCTAAGCTCTAATTATTTAATGTTCTTATTCTCCCAGTTTTACCTCCAGTGTTGGTGCCACGGCAAAGTGAATACCCAAAACCTCCACCACCTTTACCACCCTCATTTCAAAGTGCAGCTGAGCCTCCATTGCCATACAATGCTTGTTTCCCATTCAAACAACAAGCGCAAAGGCCCGAGGGCAGAACGAACATGTATGTGGCAGGTAACTATACTTTTCCCTCATTTTAAGACATCTTTCTTTTAGTTAACCATTTTTTACCAAGACTCCATTGGATTCATGACAAGATTTGTTGGGAGGAGAATCAAGACCAACCCACTCTTATTAACATCTGTTGAGCTCCATTTCTCCCCTATCACATCCCCCACTTAGTGGGGGTGTGGGATCATACGATGACCTATAACTCCAACCATGTAGCAAATAAACTGTGAGAAGATGACTGTAACAATACATGGATAAATTCTCCTTCTAAATTACAGTACCTACTGTTTGCACCAACAACCAGAAGAGAATTTGACATTGATTATAAAACTGCTGAGAGACTTTTGGCAAATACCTCTAAAATGTATAGTGTAAAGTGCAGCTATTTTCTCTTTACTTAGAGTCACCAAAAAGTTATATATCTGAGGATGCAGAATCCCCATGTCCCACGGACCCAAATACTATGGATGTGGATGTTGTTGGATCTCTGCCAACAATGGTGAACCAACCATGTAAGTCAACAATGTATTTTTGTCACTGATAAATGACAGTCATTTATGGCCATTACATCTTCTTTATTTTGCTTACAACTCACGTGAAGGTTAAGTCCTCCAAATGTTAAGAAAGTGTTCCTTTTTGCTCTAATTAAAGCCCATTTGAAACATCAAACTTTCCATGAGCTGAACCAAATATTAAATATAAAGTAGATGAAAAGTTTTATTGAAAACTGGGCACCTAAGGGGAATTAATAATATGAGTTTGTATAGCCTTTGGAATGTCTTTACATGTTCTATTTTATTATTCTATAGGCCAAACCAAATTAATGGGTAATTGACTTATTTTGAATATGCTGTTTTTCTGAAATTGTTTTTGTAAAAAGCAATGACTGTTGTTTAAGCTAAGTACAGTGGAACCTTGATTTAACAAAGTGCCAAGGGACTGGGGAAATTGATTTGTTATATTGAGGGTTCATTATCTCAAGGTTCTGTCACATACATTGTATTGTAACTTTGGCTGGGCTGAAACTAAAGTATCATTCATTATACCAAGGATTTTGTTATGTGGAGGAGGTTCATTAAATCGAGGTTCCATTGTATCTGAATATACAGTTGGGTACTTTTAAAATTTGGATCAGTCCAAATTCAAATTAACCCTTAAACCCCCAGAGGTGATTTACATGTAGCTTAATTCTCTCTGTAAAATCCATTGATTATCCAGCAAACAGGTAATGAGAATACTCAAACTTATCAGGTAGAAGTTGTCACACACCAAACTCTCCAAAACTAATAAACAAGGAAATGTGTAGCAGGTAGAGGAGAGAACTAACAATCAGATCTTGGGGATCAGTTCATGAAAAGTTGGGGCATGTAACCTGGCCTCATGGATAGAAATTGAGTTGTAAATGGGAGATTAATTTTGGGCAAATTTTAATTGACTTTTTTGCAGATTTATCTCATGTTACTCCAGTGAGCTATCAAGAACCAATATCGTGGTGTTCTATCTCATACTATGAGCTGAACAATAGAGTTGGAGATCAGTTCCATGCATATCGTAACAGTATTATGGTGGATGGATTCACAGATCCAAACACCAGAAACTCGGAAAGATTCTGTTTAGGTCTGTTAACCAATGTCAGTCGTAACTCAACCATTGAGAGCACAAGACGACATATTGGAAAAGGTGTACATCTGTACTATGTGGGTGGAGAGGTTTTTGCTGAATGCCTCAGTGACTCTGCCATCTTTGTGCAAAGTAGAAATTGTAACAACAGCCATGGTTTTCACCCTACAACAGTGTGTAAGATTCCATCAGGCTGTACCTTGAAAATTTTCAACAACCAAGAGTTTGCTCAGCTGCTTTCTCAGTCTGTTAATTATGATTTTAAGGCTGTGTACGATTTGGTAAAAATGTGTTCTATTCGCCTGAGTTTTGTCAAAGGCTGGGGGGCCGAGTATCACCGCCAAGATGTTACAAGTACACCATGCTGGATTGAAATTCATCTGCGAGGTCCTCTGCAGTGGCTTGACAAGGTGCTGACTCAGATGAATACAGAAGGAATGAATTCAACAAACTCATTTGATTAATCACTACATAATCTTATATTTTGTTTAACCTCTAACTCCCAGAAGTGATCCACATGAAACTTCTCCTTATAATCTCTGTAAATTATCCAGCAAACAGGTAATGAGGGTACTCAAGCTTATCAAGTAGAACTTTTCCTGATCTAACACCAAATCCTTGTAACTAATTAATAAGGAAATGTGTAGAGGCTAGAGGAGAGAAATAACAATCAGATCCTGGGAGTTAAGGGGGAAATATGTATGCACCGGTATGAATGAAGTTTTGGTTTTTAAAACTATCCCTGATTCTAACGAAATTCTTCTACCCCTCCCCCCCTTTTCCACTGCGGACATAGTTGGGTCGTGTAGCTTCCCCTTTTGTAAATGTCTGCCTGCTTGAGTGGTGTATTCTTTTCCAATCAGATATGTTGACAATCAAAGTTCTTTTCTTTGTTTCTGGTCAGACATGTGGGAAGTTTGAGAATGCTGAGTTCTTTAACAGTAGCTGAAGATAGCTCATATTGAGTATATCAATAGGAAAGGAGTGTTTGCTTTTGATTATGCTTGCAACTATTTGTTAGTAAGAAGTAATTACTATAGGGTGGGTATGGATGTTTCCTGGTTAAAAAAAAAATAAAGTAATTCTGTACTTGAGCAAAGTGGCCCACCAAGCCGGAGCTTATCCAAGTTTAAATAGCATTAAGTTCAATTCAATCAAAGTTTATTGTCTAACGTGAGGCATGGTTGCCCAATTGCCCGAGCCAGAGGCTCATGTATAAAACGGTAGTATCACCAGGAGTATCACCACTTTCCCCTGGTGGGAATGCTAGTCCATATCAAGGTATCCCACTAGCATTTCATTGGGTCTCCCTGGCAATTTGGCAGGACCCATGTACATTCCTGGGTGGAGAGAGGCACTGTGAGTGTAAAGTGTTTTGCCCAAGAACACAACACAATGACTCGGCCAGGACCTCTCAAACTCCAGTCCAGTGAACTTTTAACCATCCGGCACAGATGTTTTCTTGAGCAACATATTATTTTGATCTTATATCGAAAAAAAAAAAAAAAAGAGAAGAAATTATTACACCCTGGTTAACTGATTAACAAACCAACAAAATTACATATAATTAGAATTCTTGTAATTAGTTAACCTCGTAAATACATTTATAATCAAAACACTGGTGAAATGTTACTTAAATGGTTTAGTCAAGAAATTATACTTGAAGAATTAATGTTAGAAGGCAGCAAGGCCAAGTGGCTGAAAGGATGATGTTGTCAGTTTAAGTCCAAACCCCACAAAATGACCCCAAGGGGGGGAGGGGTACCCCTATGATACAATTTATAATAACAATGTTGTTGTCTTAAGTGAAATGACGAAGTACTTATCTTGTAAAACTAAGCAAATTATGCTTATTTAACATATAATGACTAACTTTTGAATTCAAATCATATACCATGTAATGTACTGTATAAAGTTTTCTTCTCATGCAATTGTAAATGTATGATTTCTGTGGTAAGTTGAAAATGAATTAAATGAAAAAAAAAAAAGCGACCACTTCTGCGTTGAGATGGGAGTAGGCCTTTATAGGCACTGTTGATCATTGAATGAAAATAGCGCTCTAGAAGTTACGGGCGGCACAGGCGTCATTGGGTTAAATTAAATTAATTTAAATTATAGGTTGTGCTAGTAAAAGTAGCATAATATGCTAGTAGCATTGCTCTTTTTGGTGAAATTATGCTAATATTATGCTCTTTTTTCCAAATTAAGCCCCTTTTTTGAAAATTATGCTCTTTGAAAAAATTGCAAGTCCAAAAAATACATTTTTTTAATTAGAAGCCATTGGTCTACAAGAAAGAAACACAACAAATCTACAATGACATTAAAATAAACATGGTTCATGTTAACGTGCGCACTAGTACTAGACTATACATGGCCTACAATGTGACTTCCGGTTCCGGTTCACCCCAGATCTGGGCTCAGATTGTTTCAGATGCTGCTCAGTGATTCACATTGAACTACAAATGCTACTACTTGAACTAAAACTTAAAACATCGAATAATGTCACCAAGTGCTTGGGAGTAGAGATGAACGACGATCAAATTGTAGCATCAAAAATGAGCCGATAATTATCAAAATATGCAAATTATACAAGCATTGCTACTTGGCAGAATTTATGCCAGTTTGCACAAATTATGCCAAAAATTATGCTAGCATATAAAGGCCCTGATATCTATAATGGTTATATTTAGGTGTAATGTAGAAGTATTTGTAATTAATGACCCACCTTGTAATTCAGTGTATGCTGCAAAAAGGTTGAATAAATGATCATTATTATAATTATTACAGATGAGAGGAATAAGGTAATTTGTACATTTCTTCAAAGTTTGTGCCCTAGAACTTGAGTATTTTGGATGTTATGCAGTAACACTTCTTATTACACGACTCGGACAGTAAGAGGGCCAATAACTAAAATCAACCAATCAAAATGCTCTATTGCCGGTCAATATCATTTTTGTACGGACCTCGCTGCGCTCGGTCCGTACTGTCAAGACCTCGGGCCAATATTCTCCCAGTAAGGCCCTCGCGCTTGGTTAATAAGATATATATTGTACTTGTCACACAGAACCCTACCCTTACTTTTACACAGGATTAGAAATCCTAAGACAAAAATAAATTCTATTAATTGTTGGCTATCCTGTGTGATTGGTGTGCCTGTTTCCAGATATTGTCCAGCGGCATGTACTAGCGAATTTATATATATGTCATGTAATTTGTAGATTGAAGAAGATGGCGGCCGATTTCAAGTGAGTGTCCTGTGCAAGTGCTTATTCAAGTATTCTTGGTCGTTTGGTAATAAATTGTCGACACTGACCTCACTCTTTGCATATTCAATTTTCAGGACTGCACAGCCATTAGAATATTACAGGCAGTTTCTGGTGAGCAAATCTTCCGTTTAATCTTAATATATAAGCACGCTGAACGTAAATTGCGTTTGAAAATAGATTGTTTTGAGCCAGGGTTAATTTCCATCTAAATGTACGCTAGGAAGTCTTTATATTTTTATTTTCATTTGTAGAAGGAGGATGTAAGGCCAGATGGTCGCGCACTTTTAGAGTTTCGAAAAACGATCCTAAATGTTGGTAAGATGGATGTGATCTAGGTTTTTGTTTCTTTTCATGCATACCATGTGACTTTTTTACGCTCTTTAGACTTATCTTACCAATCTTTCGATGGTTATCGCTAGGTTCTATATCGACAGCCGAAGGCTCAGCTTTGGTTAAACTTGGAAACACGACAGTTGTCTGTGGAGTGAAGGCAGTTAGTATGGACTTAGTATTACAGTGTCTTTTTTTTTTCAACCCTTTACACCGTTGCATCAGTATGCATATTCTCCGTACTGTGCTCTACAAATTTCCTGAGTGCTGACAAGGAGAATTTGTTTAATAATCAAAATTTCTTTAATTGGCGATCATTTCCTTTTTTTGTCCTGACCTTAATGTGTCATGGGCTATAATTCTGCTTTCTGTTACTGAGGAAACTCCAAAATTACCCAAGAGTTAGATCATTTTAAATTTAACAAAATGGCAGTGGTTTATTGTGGTCTGTACTCTTATTGACAATGATATTTGTCATCACAGTGATCAAAATCTTGTGGACTCGCAAGGTGCATTGACATCAAATAAACAATTCTTTCAGTGTGTGACCATTGGGTGACACGTTGATGCAAGCAGTGTTGTCTGTACTCTTATCTACAGTCAGCCAATCAGATTGCAACATAACTACCAATTGTGATAAAACATGAATTGGTCATTCACATATTTAAATACTACTTAGTTCTTACTAACCGAGCGGGAGGTCTGTTTGGGAGAATCTTGACCGAGGTTGCCAGTACAGACTGAATGCAGTGAGGTCTGCACCAGTGACCAAGGTCAAGATTCTCCCATACAGACCAACCTAGCTCAGTTAATAGACCACTTTCATAAATGGCTGCTGTATAAATATTATTTTGTTTAAATTTAAATTAGCCCTACTGGCCTCGCTTGAGATAATGTATTCTTTTGAATTTTGTACTGGAGAACGAGGCCAGTAGGGCTAATTTAAATTTAAACAAAAGAATTTTAATCCAGCAGCCATTTATGAAAGTGGTCTATAAGATGTTTATTATATGGCTGTGTCTTATATGCCAATTTTTTATATTCTTTGTACCTTTTTTTCTAGACAGGTCTAGATGTCGGTCTGGATGGGAAAATCTAGACCGCTTTCAAAATTGATTTCAGCCAATCAAATTCGTAAATTCGGTAGTTCCCAGTCCTTGTGAGACACAGCCATATAATAAACTGAATTAATAATAGTCATATTTACCAAACGTATGACTACTGTCAATTCTCATCCATAGGAGTTTGCTGTGCCAAGTCAGGATAAACCAAGGCATGGATTCATAGGTCAGTAATAATTCTGATAGTGACAGTAATCAGGCACCACAAGGGAGATTGTTAGTGTTTACATCTGCACCCAAAAGAGAACTCCAACCTTGATTAACAATTGGTTCATGCTTTAGCGTGCACTATCGAGTTATGGAGCACGCGGGAAGTTTGGAGAGCACGAAAGAAGCGTAAGAGTTGCCCGAGGTGATAGCCGAGGGCAACTCTAGCTTCTTGAGTGCTCTCCAAACTTCCCACGTGCTCCATAACTCGATAGTGCACAGCTGAAAGCATGAACCAATTGTTTTAGAACATAGCCGGTGGAATTGTGCATCAAAATCCAATGCGAAAAACAGACAACAATATCAGTTGAAGCGAATCGTGACGGTGCTGATGCCAAGACTCCTTTTCCTTTGTTTTTCTCTTTTTCTGCCTCATTTAAGAACTCTAGCCCAAGGGAAAAGGTCGAAACATTGTCTTCGTTTTCGGACTAGTAGGCTGAGTTTCTGTTTGTATCCATTATTGTCGCAAAAACTAACAATGGCCGCTCGCGTGAAAAAAAATTTTTCTGGCGAAGTCGGATTTGCTGACGCTATCAGTGTGCACTATTGGGATTTTGAGCACGCTTACATATAATGAATTTGATTGCAGGACTCTGCTAGCTATGTTCTAACTTCTTTTAACCCTTGGAACCCTAATTTCTCTTTGCGTTTAATGCTGTTGAATAATTCAATAAGATCTTGAGAGCAAAGGAAGTGATCACCAACCCTAAGAAGCTTTGATCAATATGGTGTAAAGGGTTAAACTGTATTACTCATTTGTTCCAAGGGGTACATGTTGAATTTTTGAAATTAAGTAACAATTTTTCAGAAGTATTTTTTTAATATTGAAAGGTGATTGAAAAAAATGACAAGTTTATAATTTGGAAATTGATACATTCAGTTCCCAATGTAGATTTACCTCCTCTTTGTTCCTCTCGTTTCCGTCCGGGTCCTCCAAGTGAGCAAGCACAAGTTTTGAGTCAATTTGTGGCCGATGTTATCTCCAAGTGAGTACTGGAACATAGAAAAGGAGAACTTTGAAACCTTTTGTTTCCTTGCTATCATTACTATGGTAATCAATTTTAGTTTCAATTTGAGCAAATTGATTGTTTTACTATTTGCATTGATTTATCAGCTGTGAACCAATCAGTGTAGAGGATTTGTGTATTGTGGAAGGCAAGGTAGGAAGTTCTGTCATATTTTTGATGGGAATTTACAGGAGATGTTTTACAGGGCATGAAATGATGGCCAGTCAATGGATAATGTAGAGTCAAATGCAGGTTTTGTCTGGTCAACTCCTTGGATGGTGGGACATTTTGTTCAGTTGTTCACCCATGTAATGAAGAATTTAATTCCAAGCTAAGTTCAGGATTTAAATACAGCAGCTGTATCGCTTTTCCTGCATTAAGTTCAAGGCTACATGTATATTAATAAAAGTGTGGTAAATATACTTGTTTTATAAGCTCAAGCAAAATGTTTTTGTGCCTTGTCTTTGATAAAAAGATGTACCATGCTCAAAGACCTTTTGTAAAGTAGTTTTTTTCACCTCTTTTCTTTGTAAGTATAAACTGTTAGTTGTACCTTGGAATCTTTTATTCCTGACTGT